AGAGAAGAGAAGAGAAGAGAAGAGAAGAGAAGAGAAGAGAAGAGAAGAGAAGAGAAGAGAAGAGAAGAGAAGAGAAGAGAAGAGAAGAAGAAATGGGAGAGGGAACATTAGGCGGGGCCACACTGTCCAGCAGCCAGGACCCCACTATCTCCCCTGCTAGCGTGGCATGCCTGAGGCAAAAATTTCATTTTCTCAAATTTCTCCTCCTTTTGTCCCCTCCTCACTCTGGGGTCTGGATGGGAACACCCTGGGGGCAAGGAACAGACAGCAGAGACCAGCACAGAAACCACCCAGCTGCAACAAGTGCAGTTGGGGCTCCTGTGCAAAGGAGCAAGGGGCTTGTGGGACCAAACACAAGGTGAGACAGAGACGGGAAGCAGCAGGGACAGAGCCCAGCACTGCATCCGGCTGGCTGCCAGGCATCGCAGTGCCGCTCCGTACTCAGGTTCCACCTGATGTGCCCTCCCTGCTCCTCCAAGTGGCTCACTCTGTCATCCTGCAGAGTTCTGATCAGGGGCCATCTCCTCCAAGAAGCCCTCAGTATCCAGCCAGGACAGCTGCATAGCCATAGCCGTGAGAGAAGGGCTAAAGTTGGTGCTGTCAGGATAACATCTGGGACAGGGTAGTGGGGAGGTGTCATTGCAAAGTGGGATCCAAAATCTTCCCTTTCACAAGCAGAGCTATGACAGCCAGAGCCACCAAAGCTAGTATGGAACTCTTGGCCACTAGGCTCCTTCGATATTGGGGACAGGCTGGGTCCCCAGTGAGGAAAATAATGTTGCCTGAGATTGTGACCCTAGAGGAAGTCCATCTGGGTGGGGGCAGGCAGAGGAATTCCTGGAAGGAAGCTCACACCTCAGGAATCTGGTAAAGAAACACTCCAGAGGGCTTGTCCTGGGAGCTGCCCCCTTCTCATCCCCAGGCCCAGGCAGGCAGCTGGGAGTATGGCGCCTGAGCTGGAGGTGCTGAGCCCTTGCAGTTGCGCCATGCAACAGGATCAGCAAGTCTGTTTTCTCTCAGCTCCTGAGCTCCAACCACACTGACACAAAAAGCCTTCCTTCCATGGGTGTGGACCTGAGGCGCACAGCCAGGTCCTCAGTCAGGCTCCAGCACACCCGAGGCTCCCTCCACTGCATCTTGTGAAGTTCTGTGTTGTCCACCTGTGGCATGTGTGTGAGTGTGCATCTGCCGAAAGCTCAGGGTCAGAGCCAGGCTTGGGCAAGAGTTGAGGGTGGGGGTGTTGCTGGGGAGAGTAGAAGTTCTCCCCACAGTCCTTCAGCACTAAGAGGCGAGGTGGGGGCTACCATGCCCTAAAACAAACTACTTTCTGTGCTAAAGCTGCCTGCTGCTTCACCCTGTCACAGGCACCTGCCTCCCAACCAGTCCCCCAAAGATCCTCCTGGTGGTGTGAAGGGCCAGGGGCACTCTGAGCAGACACAACACCACAGCAGGGCCCTCAAGCGAAGGCTGCTGAGGGGTGGCCAGGAATGGGAGCTCAGAAGGCAGGTTGTGCAGAGGAGGCCAGAAGAGGACCTGGAACTCAGGGATGGGAAGTGAGTTTGAGGGGTCAGCCAGGAGAGACCATGCTTTGGGTCATTTGGGTCTGCTCCTGTAGGCCCTGGGGAGGCCAGAAGAGTGTGGTGCTGACAGCAGGCACCAGATTTGCACCTCTGATAGACTCCTCTGGTTGCAAGCTAGAGATGGATGAGGGCAGGTTTGGAAGCAAGAGCATCAGCTGGGATGGGCAGAGCCTGGGCAGAGGCCCAGGTCTGGCCAGGGAAGCAGCTGCTCCACCGAGCTTTCCCTGTCCGCCCTCCGCCTGGGAGAAGCAGGAAGCTGGTGAGGTCAGTGGGTGGAGCCAGCATGGTGCTGAACAGGAGCAGGAGGGAGACAAAAGGGCACAGCAGGTTGAGGGGCAAGGACCCTATAAGACCCCTTTTCATCACCTTTGTGCCCAGAGTTTCTATGGCATCAGTGGACTCAATCAAGAATTCACTGGGGACATCTGCTGTCCTCTGTCAGACTGGAAGCTGCCCAAGGGTGCTGCCTGTGGCTCCCAAATCAGACAGAAGAGGCCTGAAGGGGATGCCAAGTATGGGTGCAGACATCCTAAAGCCTTTATTCCTGCTGCTTTGACCCCAGAGATGAACCAATCCCTCAGGCCAGGTGGATGAAGGGAGTGGAAGGGGGAAAGATAAACAAAAGGCAGGCCTGTGAGAAGGGCCAGAATCACCCTATGCCTCATACCCACACTGCGCCCGCCCTGGCTTGGCTTAGCCTCTAAGGAGATGGAGGCCAGGGAACCCAGTCACATATGCACAGACAAGTGCAAACACATTCACAAACACAAAGATTCAAGACACAGTCACACACACACACACACACACACACACACACACACACACACACACACACACCAGGAAGACAGACATGTGACCAGGGGCAGAATGGAGATTGTGGATTGCATGCTTTGTTGGCTCCCAACAAGGTGCCCACAGCACATCCCCAGCCACCACCAGATTAAGAAGACCCTCTGAGGTGGTGTCCCTGAGAGTAAGGGCAGCAAACTGAGGGGTAACATTATAATCTGAGGAGCTTGGCAGAGGAGGGAAAGCAGCCTAGGAAGAAAAATAGCCCCTACAAATGTGGAATTGGGCTTGGTGGCACATGCCTGTAATCCCAGCACTAGGGAAACTGCTAGGCAGGAGGATCACCTCAAATTTGACACCAGCCTGGATTACAGTGAGACCTTGTCTCAAATAAATAAAAAAATGGGACAAACGTGGTTCCCTGGAAATGGGAGGGGTGTGCTGCCTATGGCAGCAGACACAAGGAAATAACAAGTGAGAAGCAGGCCAGGTATGGTGGCCTGAACCTATAATCCCAGCGCTCAGAAGCTGAGACAAGAGGATTACTGTATGAGGCCAATGTGGGCTACCTAGTGAGCCCAAGGCCAGCCTGAACTACATATCCAGATCCTGTCTCAAATGAAAGAAAGAAAAAGAAAGAAAGAAAGAAAGAAAGAAAGAAAGAAAGAAAGAAAGAAAAAGAGAAGTAGATGGGGTGGGGGTGGGGTACAGGGGCAGAAGAAAAAGGAGCCAAGGAGGGCTGGCAGGGTAAGTCAGTTAGTTAGGAAGCTTCAGGAGGGACTAGCAGAATGAGCCTCCACCCTTGACAGCTCTTATTTGGAGGCCATGTCTAGGGATCCCCAAGAGAGCCTGGGTTATGAGTAGAAGACTGTTGGCAGCTCCACGTGAAAGAGGCTGCATGCTCCTTGGCGTGGAGGCAGGAGGGGCTCAGAGTAGCCAGGAGTGGGGCCCAGTCTGGGAGAACCCCCATCTCTGCTGCTGAAACTGAGCAAGGCCCCGGCCAGGTCCCAGTCTGCACTGGCCCCAAGGCCTCCTCATCTCCCGACCTTGGGGACCCAGCTGGGAAAGCAAAGGAACGATGCTGGAGACCAAGGCCGCAAGCCTGGGAGCGCTGCCGCGGGGTCGCAGGTGGGCCGCCCAGGCTGAGCCCCGAGGTGGGCTGTAGGAAGGAAGGGGCGGCGGGGGAGGAGGCCGGCGAGGGTCTGGAATTCCTCTGCCGCTCCTCCCCACCCTTCCTCCCCAGCCCTCGGCTTTCCCTACCCCGGCTGGTGCGGGAGGGGGACGGAGGCCGGGCTGGGTAGGCCCCCTGGAGGCGCAGGCCCCGCCCCTCCCGCACATCTGGGCCGGGCGAGCAGCCATTCGGGCAGGGAGACGGAGGGGGAGGGGAAAGGGGGAGGGGAGTGACTGCGGGCGGGGCTGGCGGGCGGGTTGGCGGGGAGGCGCACGTCGAGGGCAGTGGGTTGCGGACTGTGGGCTGCGTGCCGCGGGCGGGGATCCAGGCGGTCGGACCGGGTCGAGCTGTCTAAAGGCCGAGGTGAGCTTTGGAGGTGAGATGGGGGCCGAGGAGGGCTATCTCGGCCGTCGGCTGAGACCCGCCCAGATCTGCAAACCCCACTCTTCGGTGAACTTGCGGCGGAAAGGCAGCTGTGTCGTTGCGCGTGCTTCTACCCGGGCTTTGGGACCCCACACGCGCTGCGCGGAGCTCAGGCGCTCAGACTATTGCCTGGCGGGAGAGCCCTGTGGGCTGGGCTCCGGCCTGGGGGAGCCAGCTGTGCTGACGGGTGCCTAGTTCTGAGATGGAGTCCAGGGGATTGAATGCAGGAGTGTGCTGGGAGGTGGCTAGGAGGCCCCAGACCCTATGGTCCCAGGATGGGAGAGGGTGGCCAAGGGTACCCGGGATCCAGGTTTCCCTCTATGAGGCCAGCTTGGGGGTTCATGTTGGGTGGGATCTGGGCTCCCACAAGGAGCAAGCTGGGGTAAGGAGAGCTGGGAGGGAGGCCGCGTGTGCTGACACAGGACCTAGGGACAGCATTTGGCCTAGGAGCTAGGGTGGGCAGGGTGGTGACCAAGGTCTGTGGCAGAGATGGGAGGGCCTCCCCACCCTGAAGCAAAGAGGTTGTTTGTGAACTGACTGCTGCTGGTGCAGACCCAAGGGCAGGGTGTGTGGAAAGCCAAGTTGAAGACAGGGAGGGATCATGGGCTGCAGTTCCTGTCATCCCTGCCCGAACACAGGAGAAACAGCCCCCTCCTCTCCTTTGTACAAGATGGGGCAGCCCTTTGGGTGCTATTTCTAATCTGGCCCTTGGGCCGTGGTAGTTGGCCCAATCTGTGGCTGGGGAAAAATGTTTGTGGCCTTATTTAGTTGGCTGATAGTCCTGTTCATTAAAGGACTGGCAGGGTGATAGAGGCATCAGTGGGCCAGAGAGGCAGGGTCTCAGGCAGAAGGTGAACGGTAACAACCCAGGTAGACTCTTTGTCCTCACTACCACCTGGTGAAGCCCTGAAATCCACCATCACCACACATCTGCAGAGCCAGGGGGCCAGCCTGAACACCTCATCCCAAGAGAATTCTCTGTCAGGCAAAAAACATCCTAGGATATTGTCAACCTGGGGAGAGAAAGAAAGGGTAATTCAGTTGGTTAAGAAGCACCAGGAGGGCCTAGCAGAATGAGCCTCCACCCTTGACACCCCTTATTTGGAGGCCATGTCTTGGGATCCCCAAGAGAGCTTGGGTTAAGAGTAGAAGACTGTTGGGCCGGGGAAATGGCTCAGTAGAATAAGTGCTTGACTGGCAATCTCAAGGATCTGAGTTCTAATCCCCGGTTCCGCAAAAAAAAAAAAAAAAGAGTAGAAGACTGTTGGCAAGCTCCACACGAAAGAGGCCGCATGCTCCTTGGCATGGAGGCAGGAGAGGCTCAGAGTAGCCACAAGTGGGGACCAGTCTGAGAGAACCCCCAGTCTGGGGAGAGCACTGGGAAGTTGCTGGTTGTGAGTGGCCTACTTGGCTGCACCTTCTCCCCAGTGCCTTGTGGGCAGAAGTTAAGACCAAGGGTCAGGTGTATCTGAAGACTGGAGATCAGCATGAAGCCAAGGGTTAGAGGTCAGTCCGTGGGCAGGTCATAGGGTCTGCCTGTGGGTAGGGTCGGTGTCAGGGTGGAGGCCATTTGGCAAGCGCTTGCAGCCAGGAAATGGAGTTACTTTCCATGTAAATCAAACCCATAGGCATCAGCAGTCTGAAACTAGTGGGTCTCTAGGGATGCACCTATTGCCCCCATTACAGCTGTGGACCCTGCCCTGACCAAATTTGGGCAGTGAGATCGTCCTGAGCCCTATGGCAGCACGGACCTTCAGTGGGTTTTTTTTGTTGGTGGTGTTTTTCTTGATTTATTTTTGACAGGATCTTACTATGTAATTCAGATTGGCCTTGGACTCACTGTGTAGCCCATGCTAGCCTCAAATTCAAAGAAATCCTGTTGCCTCAGCCTTGAAAGTGCTGGGATTACAGGTATACACCACTAAGCCTGGCTTTGCCTTGAATTTTTTGGGTGTGGGTACGTACTGAGGTGAGCAGGATCCCATGGGTGTTGAGCAGGGTCCCATGGGTATATGTGCATACTTACTTGGCTGTCACCCCTTCTACCTCCACCTCTCCAGGAATCAGTGAGAAATTCCTCTGTAACACACATTGATTCTAACTTCTGAAAGAACTCGAGATAAAATCTTCAGTAAGACTGAAAACTTCTAACAAGGAAAAATTCAGAATCAATGTCATGAAAGAAAGAATACTCCTCACTTTGCCTTCATCAACACCTTCCACTTCTGGACGTGGTACTCACATGTGGTACCTATTTTATAGGAGAAGGCACTGAGGTGTGGAGAGGTCAATGATGCACTACACTGAGGCCATAATAAGTCCTTAACATCCGAAGGACCCCCTGTAGGGGCCGTCCTCAGATCACATACTCAGGAGATAAAGTGACAAACTTCGGAGGGCTGGGGGGACTGCAGGCACATAGCTGGGACAAGGAATCCAGTGATGGCTTAGTTTTCTTTTCCTGGCAATACTAGGTTGTTTCTCTTGCAGGTCCAATAGCGTTGGCTCATAGAGATCCGTTGATTCATTCACTCAGTCAGTCATTCAACAAACTGGTTCCCGCACTTAGCACAGAGGCCAGCACAAAAGAAATGCCCAGTTCTCCTGTGGTAAGGAATTAAGCCATTCACATAGGACTGCTGGCCCCTCCCCTGTTCCCTGGATCAGCGGTATGCTGGTAAATGTTTTATTAGCAACTGTGTGAGAGGGAAAAACCGTGGATTTTAGCCTTGTCAAGTTCCATGTTGGAAATACTACCACTGTAGCTGGTTTCAAGCTACCAACAGTGATGTCAATGAATGTAGACTTGGAAAAAATAGACAGTATTGGACCTAGAGTGCTGGAGGGACTTAGCTGCACCACACACTCTGTCAGTCTGAGCTGAGCTCCTGTCCCTGGCTCTTGAGGTCCCTACTGACTCCCTCTGTTTGATTTCCCTTTTTCTCAGCATCTCCTGCCTGTCACACAAGGGCCCACAGCCAGGCTCTGCCCTTCTCCTGATTGTAAATCCTGGGCATCCAACTGACATGGGGCACAGCAGGACTGCATGTGTCTGGCAGTTTCCATGGGGCTGGCCATGCAAGAGTGCCCTAGGCTTACAGGGGCATGTGGGAGTCTGGGTGTCTGACCATGTTGAGGCTGGATTTGTGTAAACTGTGCAGGAACAAGGGCGTGTACATGTGTGTATGTGCATGCCAGTGCCCAGCCCTGTGTCTGTCTGTGTTGTTAGTAAAGTTTCCTGACCAGGCTACCAGGAGTGGGAGTGGGCCCTGGGCAGCCCTTCTCTTTGTTTAGAGAAGCAACCAGTCCCATAGATAAAAGGACAGTGACACCCGTGATGAACACAGGGACGTTTGAGCAACGCTTCTCCTGCTTAGGAGTTCTGATTCAGCAGGGCAGGGAGCTCAGGTTCTGCATTCCTGGCACGTTCCAGGGGGATGCCAGTGCTGTGGCCTGAGACCATGATGGATTCAGGTAACAGCTGTCAGGGTTTGCAGGGCCCTGCCTGTAGCCTGGGCTCCAGAGGCTCTCCCTCCAGCCACTGTCCCCACATCTATCCCCGTTCTCATCGAGTTTCTCCAGAAGTGTAGCTCGGTTCTCTCACCCCTTGCTCCTTCCTCACCTGGGCTTACTTGCCTTTGGCTTACAAGACAGTAAGTCAGTCTCATCTAACAGAATGGTACTGGGAATTGAACCCAGGGCGTCTCGATGTTGGGCAAGTGCATTGTCACTGAGCTGCATCCCTCATCCTTTTAAAGTTTTATTTTGACACAGTCTCGCTAGTTGCCCAGGCTGACTTCAGACTTGTGACCCTTCTGCCTAGTGACTAGCTGGGTTTACAGGATTGGGCCCCCATGCCTGCATTATCTAAGGACCTCTTAAAACATCTAGCTTCTCTGAATTCTCTCATCACAGTCTTCAGGAAACCATGGAGGGCTTTATCCCTTTGACAGTCCACCTTCCCCTATTTGCCTTTAACTGTCACTTTGCCTCCCTTCCCTTTCCGTTTTTGCTCTTTTCCAAGTGCCCCATGACAATGCTCCCAAATGCACATCTCCAACTCAGCTTTCTCCCTGATCATCTGCCATCTGGCTACTTGGAATATTCTGTTACTTCCAGCTCCAAATTGCACTGTGCCCTGCCAGCCTGCCCCTTCTCCAGTACTTTTCATCTCCCTGTCCGTGTCCTGCTTTGAGCCAGAGGACTGCACCTCGACATCTTCCTAAGCCCAAGTCCCATCTAATCTAATCAGCTCTGTGATTCTAACTACTGGGCCTCAGATGTCCCCACTTTTTTCTCAAGCCCCACAGCCACCACTATCTCCAGCTGGGCTCCTGTCTCTTGTGGTCCCCTCTCCCCAGGCAGCCAGAGAGCATATTAGTGTGCAAATCAAAGCTGAGTGTGGTGGCACACACCCATAATCCCAGTGCTCTGGGAAGCTGAGGAAGGCGAATTGATGAACTGCAAATTCAGGCCCAGCCTGGAAAACAATTTTTTTTTTTATATTTATTTATTTTTATTTATTGTGTGTGTGTGTGGCCAGCTCAGCCCACCAGGGGGCGGGTCTGGCAGGCACATGGTGCTGGGGATCGAACCGCGGTCCCTGTGCTTTGCCAAGCTTGTTTCAAGTAGGTGCTTTAGACCACTGAGCCATCTCTCCAGCCCTTGGAAAACAATTTAGCAAGACCTTATCTCACTTTTTTTTTTTTCATGTATTTGCTGCACGGTCTCACTATGCAGTTCAAGGCTCATAGTAATCCTCCTGTGTCAGCTTCCCCAGCACTGGGATTACAGCCATGCACCACCATGCCTGGTTTTTTTGTTTGTTTGTTTTTGTGTGTGTGGTACCAGGGATCGAACTCAGGACCTTGAGCTTGCAAGACACTTATTCCACTGAGCTATCTACCCGGTCCCCCACCATGCCTGGTTTTGTAGCAGGCACAGTGTGCCTGAGGTTCTGGGGCTGGCGTGGCATGTACTGGGGATCAAACTCAGATCCTTGCGCTTGCCAGGCAGGCACTTGGACCGCTGAGCTATCTTCCAAGCCCTCTTGTCTCAATTTTTAAATATACAAAAAACATATTTTTTTAAGGGGTGGGGTTGTAGCTCATGGTAAAACATCTACTTAGCATGTCTGTGGCCCTGAGTTCGATCTCCAGTATCCCCTACCAAAAAAAGCAAATTGAGTCATGCTCCGCCTCTAAGCTGCCACTTTAAACATTCAAGATTTGCTGTTGCCCTTCACACAAAAGCAAGTCTAATGAAGGGTGCTGGGGGCCCAGACGCTCTCCCAGCCTGCTGTCCCCTTCTCAGCCCTCTATAATGTTTGTAAACCAGAAGTCACTTCCATGATTGTGTGACGGTGATCAGCTCAGCCACCTGTCTGTGGGTCACCTGGATAGGCACAGTGTCTCTAGAGCACAGAGTTCCTCACCCAGCACCTGGCACCAGAGCGCATTAAGGATCCTCCTTATTTCTGCAAAGAAAACCATTTTTGACATAAGCTGGGCCTGTGAGGCTGAGCTTTAGATAAGACAAAAGAATTGCTGTAAGTTTAGGGTTACATATGATGGGTTATAATGGGATTTTTAAAAATGTCTTTATCTGCTGGAGAGACATATTGAAGAGTTTATAGGTGAAACAATGTGATGATACGCTTCAAAAGACTCCAGCCAGAGGTAAATAAATAAACTAAGCATTCAGAGAAAGAACAAAGAAAGAAGTAAACCCCATTCTGCTTGTCTGTTCCTGTTGACAGCTCTAGGGCCTGCGAGAATGCTGGCTGTCCCAGAGGTGGGCCTTCGGGGGCTGTACATCGGTAAGACCCTGGCACTCTACCCTGCCTGCCTCCCTGCACCCCTATACAAGCACCCACCCCTGGCTGTGGCTGCTGAGAGCTGTTCTGGAAATGCACGCTTGCATGTGCAGAGTGGTCTGTGTGCTCGGTGTCGGAATGTAGCTGTGGGCATACTTGCAGGGAGGGTCTTGTGCACAGATCCGTGTATGAAGTGAGTGTATAGGAGTGTGTATGTAGAAGGCCTGCGTGTACAAGGTGGATTTGTTCACAGGACCCCCTGTGTGTACATGAGCGGGGGCGTATGCACGTGTGTTGTGTAGGCAGGGTTTGTGCGCACATGACTATATATGATACATATGTGTACATGTTGTGCAGGGCAGGTGCACAGGACCCAGGATGAGTGTGTCTGTGGGACACACTGTCGCTGGTCTGCTCTGCAGGTGGACCAGCCATGTACAACCTTGTGCGCATGCGCATCCGGCCTGGCCTGGGAGCGGCTCTGGGCCTGGCAGGGGAGGGAGGCCGCCAGGCAGGAGGGACACGCCTCAGGAAGTCCATTCACAAAGACCTGGCAGGCCAGCCTTCCTTCCTGCCTCCCTTCCCAGGCTCTAGTCACAGCAACATGGCCTCTCAGGCTGGACTGGTGGCAGGGCTGAGCCTATGCTGGCTGAGGGGTAAAGAAGAGCCCTCAGAATGTGGCCACCATGTTCCTGCCCTGTTAGTATCTAGGCAGACTACTGTGCTGGCTGTGTACTTCTCAGAACCCTGGAATGTGTTCCTGGGTTACTCCAAGGCCAGCAAGAGTTGGGGACCTGCTAGGGTCACACACTAGCTGAGGTGTGTGTGTTGAGGCACAGGTAACCAGACTCCCTAGTGATTGGCTGTCCTGGAGCTGGTCTGGGAGAGGCACTGCCCTCCTCCTCCTGCTTACGTCCCCAGGCAGCCAGCTGGGCCTGAGGTGGCCCTTGTAGGGTGGGGGAGGGGAGGTTTCGCCAAGGCTGATTAGAACCATGTGGCCATCTTTAGGGTAGAGGGGAGCAGCCTCACTTCTGGGCCGGCTGTCCCACCTCCCAGCCATTTGTATCTGTAACTTCCCTTCTGTGTCTTTTCCACCTTCCACCCCCACCCCAGGAGCTCACTGCCGCCCCCCCATCCCTCCTTCCCTTCTGTCCCTAGACTCATTTTCCTCAGTATACAGCGCTTCTTTGTCTCCTCCTGTCCCCCACAGTGTGTGTCAGAGATGCTGAGGTGGTAGTGAGCCCAGGACAAGGTAGCCCCAAACTGACGATGGGCTCTTGGTCCCTACCCTGCCCCTGCCTAAGCATGTCTTTCCCACCATGCCAGTCCCCCTGCCCCTGCAGGACTGATGGTGAACCTTCTGGTGCCAGGCGAGGAGCCCAGCTTCCCTGATCATGCCAGTGTGACCTGCCTTCTCTTCTCTGCAGGCTCCAGCCCAGAGCGTTCCCCAGTGCCCAGCCCACCCGGCTCCCCAAGGACCCAGGAAAGCTGTGGCATTGCCCCCCTCACACCCTCACAGTCACCAGTAAGCAGGGTGAGGGGCTGGGGCGGGGGGTGACCTAGGCAATGTGGAGAAGGATTGTGCCTCACAGAGAGTGCTGGGCCTGGACTAAGAATGGGGAGAAGGCAGGGGCAGGGCCAGGCCACCATGCTGCAAGTCCCATGCCCACCTAAAGGATTAGCCTTAGGTGGCTTTGACCTTAGGGTAACAATTCTACTGGGAAGGTAAAAAGCCCTATGTAACTACCTCCACATGCTCCCGTCTTCAGAATGACATTCAAGGGCCAGGGCAGATTGTAGGGTGAGCATGTGGTTTTTCTAAGTCCTTAAAGCCCTGAGGCCTCCCAGAGTTGCCTTCCCTCCTTGCCAGCCACAGCCCATCTTAATTCAAGCCGTATCTAGGGGAAGTGAGGTATGCTGTTAAAAGCAGTTAGGAAACTACTTGCTTGGTATTTCCAGGACATAGCTTCCCCCAGCCCCTACCCCCAAAGGATGGTGTTGCCCTGGGGATCCAGCCTGGACACTCTTGTTCTCAGGAAGCCCAGGCCTCTCCCAGGCTGCCTATATCGAGGTCTCTCCTGTCTGCTACAGCATCAGCCTGGTTTGTGTCACTGTGGCCCCAAAGAGCAGAGGGTAAAATACAGGTCCATGTGCTATAAAGCTTCTCAGAAGATACAGTTGCTCCCAGCTGGGCCCAGGCTACAGGATACTGTGAAGTTGGAGGGGGGGGGGGACTGGGCAAGACCATCCAGGCAGAGGTGGGTAGAGAACTGGAAACAGGAAAGCAACCATCTGCCAGGGTGACTTGAAGTGCTGGAGATTTCTGAATAGTTGGCCTGTCCTAGGCTCAGCCTGGAGCCTGGGAGAGGTGGGGATGGGAGGGGAGCACGGGCTGGTGGGCCTGGACCTGGGGAGGGGAACAGTGCCCTGCTGGGGCTTGGCCGCTTCCTGCGGGCTGCTCGCTGACTCCAGGTCTTGGATTTGCAGAAGCCAGAGGCCCGAGTTCCCCAGCAGGCCTCCTTCTCTGTGGTAGTTGCCATTGACTTCGGTACCACGTCCAGCGGCTATGCCTTCAGCTTTACCAGTGACCCGGAGTCCATCCACATGATGAGGTGATGACAGCTGGGCTGGAAGATTTGGGGTGGGACAGGCCTGGTCCCAGAAAGCCACAGAGGCATAAGGGATGAGCCCTGGGTCTGAGCCCCTCACCTCAGCTGAAATGCTCTTTTCACCTGCAGACATTTTAATTTTTTTTGGGGGGGGGGACTATAACAGGTGATAAAATACATAAATCTATTTTGGGATTACACACAAACATACACACACATGTGTGCATATATGTATTTTGAAAACAAAATGGCCTGTCATACAACTTGCTTTTTTATCTTTTAGTGAAAAGCCTTGTTAATCCCCCTTTTGTTCCAGTTTTAGCATTTGTGCTACCAAGGGGAGCACACAACTCGCAGCGCTATTGGCGGGTGTTTTGTGTCCAGACATGCGCAGCTCTACTTCCTTTGGGCAGTTTCCCAGTATTCCTCAGCACAGATGCGCCCCAGTGAGTCCTCTGCCCTCTTGGCAGTAGCTTGGGTTTGTTTTCCTCTCATTTTTCACTTTATAGAAAGTGCCACATGAACGTCCTCTCAGCAGTTGTGCTGGGATTTCTGGAGGGTAGATTTCTAGATGGAGTTTTGTAGCTGTGATGCCAAGTAGAGAACAAGAGATGTCTGAAAAAACCCATTCTGAGGTTGCGCTTTGCTTGAGCGCTTCCTTTTAGTCCTTTTTTTTTTTTTACCATAACGAAATACCTGAGGTGGGCCACTGCCTCCTTTTTACCTGAGGCAGGAGATTTACTTTAACACACAGTTCTGGTGAGTAGAATTTCACAGTGATGCAGGGATCACATGACAAGAGAGAAAATGTGGGTGTCTGTCTGTTCTCTCCCTCTTTTCTTTTCTTTTCTTTTTCTTTTCTTTTTTTTTTTTTTTTTTTTTGAGGAACTGGGGATTGAACTCAAGCCCTTGCACTTGCCAGGGAAGCGCTTATTCCACTGAGCCATCTCCCCGGCCCTCTCTCTCCCTCTTTTCTGAAATTTTTATTTTTTTATTTTTTTGTGGAACTGGGGATTGAACTCAGGCCCTTGTGCTTGCCAGGCAAGCGCTTATTCTGCTGAGCCATCTCCCCGGGCCCTTTTCTGAAATTTTTAAAATTTAATTTTTTATCAGTACATGTTTGCAGTACATAATAAGCACTGTACACAGTGTGAGGAGTTGGTACCTGTACGTAACACATCTCAAGTCTTCCCTCCTCCTCCCTCCACCTCTTCTTTCCCTTCCCTTTGCCCAAAGATCTTGTCTCCCTGTTTCCTATTACCTCTATTTTACCTTGGTCTTTATTTATATTTAGGGTTTCTCATAGAAGAGAAACTTGGATATTTGTACTTGTGTGTCTGATTTATTTCACTTAATATTATGGTCTCAAGATGCATCCATTTTTCTACAAATGACTCAAATTTATCCTTCATAGCCAAGTAGCATTCCATTGTGAGTAAATTCTGCTCACCTGTCCTTGGACACATAGGCCACTTCAAAGCTTTAGCTACTATGAGTTGTGCTGCTATAAACATGGGTATGTATGGATTAATGTCATACGATGTCTAACTCAGGCCCTCCCTCTGCTTATAAAGCTACCAGGAGTTCACTAAGGCTTTGCCTTAATGACTTTATTTTAGTCCTACTCACTTTCCAAAGATTTCACCTCTAAACATTATAAATGGGGCCAGGGAGATGGCTCAGTGGAATTAGTGCTTCCCTGGCAAAAGCAAGGACCTGAGTTCAATTCCCAGTTCCGAAAAAAAAAACAAAAAAACTATACTCAAATGTTATAAATGGGTTGTTTCTACCTTCTTAATACTTGGCAATAGAGGTTGAATTTCCACACATGAAGACTTGGGGGCACCCAAACTATATATATCCAAAGTGTAGCAACTCCCCCTGGACTCAGGCCCCTAATTCTTTGATTGTGTCTTACCATGGCTGCAGCCAGGTGGTGAAGCTACAGAAAGTGCCCCAACTCTCAGCCCAGTCTGGGGTAGGAGATACAGGGGGCCTCCCAAGGGCCTGGGAGGCTGAGTGGAAGGGAATGGACAGAGACAGAGGTCACTGCCCCAAAGATACATGGCACATGACCTTCAGGACCTTGGACTAATTTTTCCTCTCATTGCAACCTCCACATGACAAGAGGCCACAGAGGCTGTGGGCATTCAACCCTGTCCATGAGCTTCAGGCCATCCCAAATGGCACGACTGTCAGCATGCACAGCTGAGGCCTTGCTGGCCCAGGGTGGGACAGGCACATATGAAGGGATACTTTCTCTATCCTATAGAAGTGACAGTCACAGGAAATAAATGGGGGACATTTTGGCCAAACCTTCCTTCCCACCAGCTGCCAAGCCCCATCATTGCCATGCCTCCCTGGAATCCCCAGAATATCCATCCTTTTCTCTCCAAGACTGGCAGCCTGCCTTAGTTCAGCCCCACCCTTCCATCTGGACCTCAGCGATAGCCCCCTCCCTGGTTAAGCTCCTCTGTCCTCTCCTCCCTCCCGCCTGTTCTATGAAGACCAAGCAGCCTTCCTTTCCAAAGGCACATGTGGTCCTGCCTCTTCACTCAGCTATTTGAAATCCATCAGAACAGTGGTGTTTCTGCCATGCTGTTTGATGTCTTCCATTCTCCAGCCTTGGCATTCTGGCACTTTCTCCTGCTGTGTATTCAGGGGATCTCTGATCTGCGGCTGGCTCCCCCTGCTGTTCACACCTCTAACCTTTTGCACTTGCTCTTCCTCTGCCTGAATTCCTGGTTCCTTCCCCCAAAGGGCTGCAGTGGTGAATCTGGTCTGAAGGAGTCTCAGTATCAGAAGACAGAAGGAGCAAAGGATTTTTCAGGCTGTGAAGTGGGCAGGGAGCTCTAGGTGGATGTCCAGAAGCCGCTGCAGAGAAGGAGGTTCCGCATCTCATCCAGGTGTTGGGGATCTTGAGTGTAGCTGCTAAGGTGGTTCAGATAGAAATAGTCATGAAAGACGCTAAAGGAGCTTGGCTTTAGGGGACAGCTTTAAGGAGGGCGAAGTGGTGAAGGCTTCTGCTGAGGTCCTGGAGAGACAAATATGAGGCCAGACCAGCTGTCCTGCTGCTTGGGGAGAGGTCAGATGGTGGCCTTCCATGGGAGGATTGGGGCTCAGATGAGACCAGTGGCCTCATGGACAGAAAGGAGCCCATGGCTAGCATTTATGAAAATTCGGCTGGGTGCCATTTGCTTGTCACAAGAACCCAAAAAGGCAGATATTACTATTGTTCCCATTGTATAGATGAAAAGAACGAGGCTCAGGAAGGTTGTGACCTGCCCAGGGCATACAGCTGGTCGCAGAGCCAGTGTCCATGTTCATAAAGGGATGATTGTCGCTGACCTCACTTCCCTGTGTCTCTGCAGGAAATGGGAGGGTGGGGATCCTGGTGTGGCCCACCAGAAGACTCCTACCTGCCTACTGCTGACTCCAGAGGGCACCTTTCACAGTTTTGGCTATACGGCCCGAGATTACTACCATGACCTGGACCCTGAGGAGGCCCGGGACTGGCTCTACTTCGAGAAATTCAAGATGAAGATCCATAGTGCCACGGTGCGCAATGTAGCAGGCAGCGCTCCATCCAGGGAGCCAGGGCCAAGATGGGACCAAGTGGCCTCACTGGAGGAGGGGCACAACCAAGGGAAGGGAGGAAGGGCGTGATGGGGGAGAGGCTAAGAAGCAGGCAGAGCTCCAAGGTGGGTCGGGTGGGGCTAAGATGGGTGGGACCCGGAGTGGGGATGGGATAGAGGAGAGGTGGTGCTGAGGAGAGGCCCTGGGGCTAAGGCATCAAATGTGAGACTGGGAAAAGGAGAAAGTTTAGGACATGGGGTGATTTTAAGGAAAAGGCCACGAGGAAATGGGGGCAGAGCTATGGCCTCCTCCAGAGATACCCCGTGTCTCTGCTAGGATCTCACCTTGAAGACCCAGCTAGAGGCCGTAAATGGAAAGAAGATGCCAGCCCTGGAGGTGTTTGCCCATGCCCTGCACTTCTTCAAGGAGCATGCCCTGCAGGTGTGTGCTGCCTGTCCCTGCCTACTGGGCCAGTGGTTCCCAGCCCCTCCTACTCCTTTCCTCTCCAACACCTGGCCCCTATGCATCCACCAACATAGATGCCAGAGGGCCACTTCTTCATCCTCCCTCCCTGAACCTGCCCCAGGCCACACGGGGAGGGAAGAGGTTCTTCTAACTCAACTGGGAAGTCCTTCCTGAGGTTAATTCCTCTAGCGGCCCTGCAGGGCTGAAGATGCCCCAAGCCAGCTGGAAAGAAAAAAATACTCAACACCCATGAGCTAAGGAAGGAAAGGTTTATTTAGGTCCAGTTTGTGGAGGTTTCAGTCCATAATCAGTTGGCTCCAAGGCAGAGCAGCACGTGGCAGAAGGGCACTGGAGAGGAGGAAAAGCTCATGACAGGCAGGAGGTGAACAAGCAAGCGGCAGGCAGCCACAGCTTTTTCTATCTCTTCTATCTTATTCAGACTACTTAGGATGAGTAACATTCACAGCCTTAATCCTAGTACCTTGGATCCTAGCATTGCATGATGAATCAATCCCAGCACCACACTCTAGATCCAGCCACCTCTGAAAAAGGCCAATGTATGACTGCATGAGGCTTTGGGTAGGAGGATCTAGACACAAGCTATCACACTTCCCTGACCTCTCCTGCTGCAGGAACTGAGGGAGCAGTGCCCATCACTGCCAGAGAAGGACACCGTGCGCTGGGTGTTGACAGTGCCTGCCATCTGGAAGCAGCCAGCCAAGCAATTCATGCGGGAGGCCGCCTACCTTGTAAGCACACATGGGTGAGGACCCTGGGGATGGCCACCCTGGAAGCACAGTCATTGCATAAAGACCTCCAGCTCCCCTGCCTCCACCAGAATTTTGGTTGTTGCCACCAAGAGAAGTGGGTCTTGTCAGGTGGACAAGAGGCATAGCCTAGATCAGCATGAAGTGGAGTTTCTCAGAAGCACAGCCCACCATGTAGTCTTATGAGCTTGGTCTATTGAAGATGAGTCTCAGGAGACAGGGAAGGAGGAAGCAAGACGGGAGAGACAGCTGAGCAAGATGTGGTTCCTCTGAGGGTTGCCTCAGCCGGGTCCCTCGGGGAGCTGCTGAGGGAAAACTATGTAGCATTGAGTTGGCTACAGAGAGGCAAGGGTCCCTATCAGTCTGTCACTGGTGGCAGGGGAGTGGGAGGGCCACCTGTCCAAGTGAGGTGGGTCTCCTTCAGCTGAGGGTAGCTGTCTGGAGAAAGGGCAGCTGAGTCAACAGCAACTGACACAGCAGCAGGCAGGGCACTGAGGACACCCACTGTGACTGACATTGGTGTTTTAAAGACATCCCCCCGCTACCGCCACTATTGTAGATTGTTGAACAGAAAGAGAACTCTGGCCAGAGTGCTGGTGTTCCTACCAAAGAGACATGAAAGTCTAGAAGAAGAGGGTGGGGCTCAGGCACTACCCTCTCCACTGGCACAGCCTCAGAGAAGAAATTGCTTGGCCCCAGCCTTGGGGCCTTGGAAAACAGAGCCTCAGACAGTGGTGGTAAACCTATGGCACATAGGTTGCAGAGGGCTATTTGTATCTTTGAAAGCTAAAAGGTTTGCTATCATTGCCTTAGGACATCTCTAGCCTGCCTGTGGCCCCCTGGGGATTCCAGGGCCCCTAACACCAACATACCTATGGGCCAGGCATGACCCAGGAGCCAGGTCTGCACAGTATATTGCTAGTTCCTAGAAGGAGCTGATCCCTTGCAGAGCCCATGGCAGAAGCAAAGCTGCCCTAGGTGAAACAAATGTCACCCGAGTCCCCTGGCCTGTTTACATGCCTTGCTTCCTCCCATGCTGTCCTCTGCTGTCAGCTCCACAAGGACTGGCCCTGGGCAGGAAGTCTCATCACTACTCATCTCCCTCTGCCCCACCTGGTCAGGCTCTAGGAAACCCTACAAACCCTAAAGTACTTCCCAAAGGGCTCCCCTGCCCTGGTTGAGGAAATACCAGCTTCTAAGGGTTTCCCCTCCCCACCTTACCCTGGAACTGGCCTGTCTTGGTGCCTGGAATTTCACTATTTCCTTCCTGCTATAGCAGGTTCTCAGGAACAAAGTTCTCCTGGGAGTGGGGCAGCCTGTGGCCAGTGTCTGACACCAGCCTGGTGAGCCCAATGGGGCCCCCGCCATCTCCTCTGATTCACTACACCCCACACTGTGCTCAAGTCTCTGCTAACACTGCAGTCAGTGCATAGCTGGCCAGCCTTGCTCCTGTGAGAAGACCTTACCACAGTTCCATCATTTCTTCCTGCTGTCAACCCTGTGACCCCTTTGCCTATGCCATGGTTCTCCCCTGCCTGGTCACAGGGTGGCTATGAGGCTGCTCCAAATTTGCACAGCATGAAGGGGCCTGAGAGACCTAGTATAGGTGAGGTTTGACAAGTGACAGGGAAGGAGGTGGAAATCCCCAGGCCCCAGGGTGTCCTCCTAGATGTGACAGCCTCTGGTGCTGCCCACCACCTACTTCCAGGCTGGCCTCGTGTCTCGAGAGAATGCAGAACAGCTACTCATCGCTCTGGAGCCTGAGGCAGCCTCCGTCTACTGCCGGAAGCTGCGGCTGCACCAGCTCATGGACCTGAGTAGCAGAACCCCAAGTGGTGGGCGACTGGGTGGCGAGCGCCGGTCCATTGACTCCAGCTTCCGGCAGGGTGAGCTGCCTCAGGGATACTGCAGGAGCAGGGTTTAGAGGAGTTGACCTTACAGGGTCAGAAAGGCAATGGGACCAGACACTTAGCGATGTCCAGCATGCAGGGGAGAGAGCCTCATCTTAGGGAGTAGCAAATCTCTGGTGGAGGGAGGTACACCCCTAGTCAGGGGGACCCTAGGGGTGGGGTGGAGTGGGGTGGGGGCATAACAAAGCCTTGATCTGAGATGTCCCATCCTAGCGCAGAGATTTTATCTTGCCTGGTGTACCCCCATCTGGAGGTGCAGTGCTCAGGTGGGCACTGACTTAAGGTACAGGGCTTAGGTGGGCACTGACGAAGGAGGAAGTCAGAGTGCATTCCCATCTTCCTTTAAACTGATTGCATTGGCTGTTGTTCCCCACTAGCCCTTCTGTCCCCACCAACCCCACAATCCTACTGCCAGAACCAGGCATAGAAGCCAAAGACATCTATGAGCTGTCTGAACCATCTTCCCAAATGCCTTCTACCATGACCAACAGGAGCTGAGCCCCCCGGTGTCCCCTAGGACTCCTGGGGCCTCCCTACCCTACCCAGCTCCTCCAAAACCTTCTAAGCCTGATTTTGCTGAGGCCTGCTGTCTCCTGGGTGTAGGGAAGGTCTTGTGGCAGGAAATACCTCTTCCCAGCTGTTAGATACAGTGCCTGGGTTTGGGGCAATTGCTCTCCACGGGCACAGGAATGTCAAGGGCACTGGCTGTTCCAGTGCTCTGGGAGGTATGGTGGGGAGGATGGGGTTGAATGTGATAGCTCCTGACCTCACTTTTTCTGCTGTCCCCAACTCTAGCCCGTGAGCAGCTGCGAAGGTCCCGCCACAGCCGTACATTCCTGGTAGAGTCAGGAGTGGGAGAGCTGTGGGCAGAAATGCAAGCAGGTGAGAGAGGGATAGAGGGATTTTTCTCTGACCCTGCTGGTAACCATACACTGATGGGGGAAGGTACACTGCCTAAACCCTTCCTCTTCCATTGCTGTATCTAACCTGGAAGTCCCTTCACAGTCACCCCCCCACCCCCGCCTCACTCAGAGCCACAACCCTGACTCCCACTTCTGGAGGGATTCTCAGGACACGGAATGAGTTGAAGAACCTCTGGAGCCATGCTAAGCCTGTTTGGTGGCCTGAGGATCAAGCACCCGAAAGCGCACACATACATACACACGGCATGAGCGTGCGCGTGCATACTCGCAGAGTTTGAGATCTAGGGCAGGGTTGGAGGCTGGAGCAGAAAGGACTCAGGGCTGAGAATTCGAGCAGGCCCTGAGTGCCTGAGCTGGCCTCCGCAGGGGACCGTTACATGGTGGCAGACTGCGGGGGAGGCACTGTGGACCTGACCGTGCACCAGCTGGAGCAGCCCCATGGTACTCTGAAGGAGCTCTACAAGGCATCTGGTGAGGTGCAGCGACCTTGTTAACCGGCGCGCTCTGGCCCTGCAACGCCCCCTGGCGGCCGAGTGCCCGCTGACGCCCTCTGCTTCCTGCCCACTACAGGAGGCCCCTACGGCGCGGTGGGTGTGGACTTGGCTTTTGAGCAGTTACTCTGCCGCATCTTCGGAGAGGACTTCATTTCCACCTTCAAAAGGCAACGACCAGCAGCCTGGGTGGATCTGACCATCGCCTTCGAGGCCCGCAAACGCACAGCGGGTCCGCACCGGGCAGGGGCGCTTAACATCTCGCTGCCTTTCTCCTTCATTGACTTCTACCGAAAGCAGCGAGGACACAACGTGGAGACTGCCCTGCGCAGGAGCAGGTGGGCCCAGAGCCAGGATTCAGGGTTTGAGGTTTGGTTTGCAGATGGGGAATGTCAGGGTAAAGAGGATCCACCAGGGAGTGGTGGAGGTCTGCCTGATCAGTTGTGCGCACGCGCGCATACATGTAGGAGAAAGGGGTGAGTGCACCCAAAGAGCACATCCACCCCTGGAATCCGAGTCTAACCTGGACAAGGAGAATCATGGGATGTGTATGTTTCCCTGCCTGCACCAGGGCACCCTGCCAGCCAGTGCTTCTTGGGTCCTCTGAGCCAAGGAAAGGGGAAGCTCCTTTCCTGCGACCTCATGCTAGGACTGGAGCAGGCCGTGGAGTGGGGTGGGGATAAGGGTCAACACCCAGCAGGCCCACCCAGAACACAGTGCACAGGGAGCATCAAGCATACCTGCCTGAAGGCAGGGGTAGGAAACAAGTGGACTCCAAGCCGCAGCAAATAGCTGGACCTCAACCGACAGACACCTGTGTCCCTTTGCCACCTACAGTGTGAACTTCGTGAAGTGGTCCTCCCAGGGGATGCTTCGGATGTCTTGTGAGGCCATGAATGAGCTTTTTCAGCCCACAGTCAATGGGATCATCCAGCATATAGGTGAGTGCATAGGCTCAAGGTCTCTGGCCCATTAGTGTCCCCGGAAACAGCCACTCATCCATCCACTGGGATGAGACCCAGTGTCACCTGAACCACCTGGAGCATGCAGTGTGGTGTGATTAAGAGCTACAAGGATAATGGGAAGTCTTGTCAGGTTACAAAACCTCTAGTGCCTCGGTTTTCCCATTAGTTAATTGGGGTGATAGTATTGGGTCCTCAAACGCTATCATAAGGGCAAGTGAGCTGACATGTCCTGTGGGCATGCTGGCTGGCACACAATGTGTAGGCTGTTAATACTGTAAATGCAATCTGGGGTAGAGGGAGGGAAAGCGTTTAGGAGGTGGATGTTGGTTGTGAAGAATGCCGAGTGAAAGCATTGTCTCCCCTATCAGGAAGTAGTTCACAGGCATGGCAAGGTGTTAGTTGCCAGGAGAATGCAAGTGGGGAGCGGCAGTCGCCAATCACTCCTCTCTCTTCTACCCTTGTCATGCCCCTTCCCGGCCCGGCCCACAGAGGCGCTGCTGGAGCGGCCAGAGGTGCAAGGCGTGAAGTTGCTGTTCCTGGTGGGCGGCTTTGCAGAGTCGGCAGTGCTGCAGCACGCAGTGCAGGCGGCGCTGGGCGCCCGCGGCCTGCGTGTTGTGGTCCCGCACGACGTCAGCCTCACCATTCTCAAGGGTGCCGTACTCTTCGGTCAGGCGCCAGGCGTGGTGAGGGTGCGCCGCTCGCCGCTCACCTATGGCGTGGGCGTACTCAACCGCTTTGTGCCCGGGCGCCACCCGCCGGACAAGCTGCTGGTACGCGACGGCCGTCGCTGGTGCACCGATGTCTTCGAGCGTTTCGTGGCCGCCGAGCAGTCGGTGGCCTTGGGCGAAGAGGTTCGCCGCAGCTACTGCCCGGCGCGCCCGGGCCAGCGGCGCGTACTGATCAACCTGTACTGCTGCGCTGCGGAAGACGCACGCTTCATCACTGACCCGGGTGTGCGCAAGTGCGGCGCGCTCAGCCTGGAGCTCGAGCCAGCCGAGGGCGGCCAGGACAGCGCCGGCGCGCCCCCCAGCCGCCGCGAGATCCGCGCAGCCATGCAGTTTGGTGACACCGAGATTAAGGTCACCGCCGTAGACGTCAGCACCAATCGCTCGGTGCGCGCCGCTATTGACTTTCTTTCCCACTAAGGGCGCAGTACAGTGCCAGCCCCTTTTGGCTCAGGCCCTCCCTCTTCCGGGGCTTGAGGACGCACTAGTTCAAAAGTCGGCGCCCCCAGCTGGAGAGATGAGGTCGAGGGAGGGAGGGAGGGTGGGGACACTTGGAGACTTGCTGTGGGTTTGGGCGGTGGTCCACTGACTGGAAGGGCCCCACCAAAAACCAATGGAACAGGACAATTCTTCGAAGAGGTTCGCAGGAGGACGCAACCCTGGTTGGTGGAGGGCGTGACACCTAAAGGAGAAGGCAGCGGAAGAGAACCCTAAACTGAGGGTTGTAGGGCCAGGCTAGGGGAAACACGGTTGGTTGTGCAGGACGTGAACTGAATGAAGTTCAGATGGATGGGCTCCAATCACAGGGACGCCGGGCAACCCAACTGCACGTCAGAGGGAAAGGGAAAGGGGAAACGAGGGACAAGGATAGGCGCACCTTCTTGGATGTGCTGGCAACACGAGGATGACTGTTAACTGCAGAAGGGCAGTGCCTGACTGACTACTGGGGAGGCTGTGTTACAGTGAGGACAGTTTGAAAGGGCTTGGGTGGAGCTTACTAGAGGCCCCAAGGGCAGCCCATGAGCTGCCCCGTTGCTCCTCATCCCAGCCTTACAAGGGCTGCTGAGGGAACAGGCGAAGGAGGAGGAGCTGGGGGATGGCCCCAGCTCAGTAACTGACTTGTGTGATCCCTGACCACCTGTGGGCCAGTTTCCCCAAATGTGAAATGTCACTTTCCTCCAAAGTATCAGTCCCACCTGTCTAAGAACCCATCCTAAGGTGACAATAAAGTGTTTACGTTCAAGGGGAGCCATGGCCAGGTGGCACGCACAAGTGGAGTCGAGTGGGAGTTGTGCAGGAGGAACAGGGCTAGATTTTTTTAAATGCTTAGTTGTACACAGAGCTGGGAACCCACCAGAAGGGGGTGCTACTGCCTCCCTGTCAAGGATCCCCAACAACTAATTTCTTAAGACTTCCTGGCAAGGCAGGAGGCCCCTCTCCATCCAAACTGCTGCTGTGCCTAGTCCCAAGCCTCCAGTGTCACACCTGTGCACACCTCTTCTGGGCTAGGTGCTACAAGACCATGCCACACCACGGCTTCCCAATATAAGTAACAAATTAGCAAAGTCCTTTAGTCCACCTGCTAAGGATTAGGGACCCCAGAGAAAATACCACTAGCTTCTGATATCCACTAAAGTTTTATTTCTTTAGGTTTCTATCCCAATCAGTCACTTAAAAACCCAGTATCACAGACCTGAGGGGTAGGGGCTGGGAGCTGCACCTCGCTCCTCCTCACAAGGTTAGCAGGGCAAGAACGAGGGGCAGGAGAGGTGGTTGAGGCAGAGCGGCAGCAGCAATGGGGCGACAGCATCACAAAGCCACTCTGTCCTCTCCCAGACCCTGGCTAAAGCCCCTGCAGCTTGGGGTAGACAGGAGGTAGGACCCACCCCAGGCCCTCACCCTCCCCTCCTCGGATAGCCTCCTTGGGGGTTCAACCAGTTTCTTTCAGCAGGAGACTGAGGCACACGGAGAGGAGGGGATGGGAGAGAGGAAGTCGCAGGAGAGGCAGGGTGGTGGCACATGAAGGCAGAGGTGAGAGGTGTGGGCACAGGTGCAGCTGGGTCTTGGAGGCCATGGGACACTCCACCCCACACACCCAGGAGGAGGGAGGAAGCCACACCATCACGCAGCAAGTTGGAGACACAGCGGGGTTAAGGCTGAGGGGCAAGGCGGCTGTTGATCTCAGTCAAAGCCATGCCAGTCGCTGTGCTCTGAGTCGTACTCCAGCTCAGCGCCCACGCACTTGACACCATCCAGCAGCATGGGGGTGCCGTGATGCCGGTCTGCAAGGTTAGGGTGCATATCAGCTTGCATGCTGCACCTGGTCCCACCCACATGGCACACTCCAGACAGCTACCCCAGGGATTGGCCTGGAATGGGGACAGCTCTACAAGGTCAGGACCACAGCCGGGCAAGCCACTTCCCCCTAGCCTCCCACGTGCCTCTCACTCACCCATGACGCGTGCCTGCACCGTCACACGCACACAAGCACCTGTGCCACCCTCACAGGCCAGTAGCATCTCCTCTTTGAGGACTCCTTCCTTGTGTGCAGAGTATTCACACTTGACACTGTAACCTGTCAGAACAGGGACCACAGGTGATCAGCAACCCCCGAGGCTTTCCAATCCTGATCCAACAGGATCATGCCCTGTTCTACCCTCCTAAAGAAAGGAAACTGAGACCCTCCCACAAGGTGGATGCAAGGTAAGGCTGGGCAAACCTCCCAGTTTTCACATAGCTGACCATGCTACAGGCTCTAAGCCAGGCCAGCATGGAGCCAAGGGTGAGACAAGCACAAACAGACTTCTGAGAAAAAGGCCAGCTCCTTCCACACAAAGGAAGACAGGGAGAAGGGTGGTAGACAAGGGGGCAAGCAGGGCAGGCTCTGAGTGGGCCAGGTAGCAAGAGGCAAGGCCAAGGCCCCAGGGGCCTTGCTTAGTTCAGTGAAGATCATGAGGTGGGGTGAGACAAACTGAGGCTGGGGCTGCCTGCCTGTCTGCCTGTGAAATGACACCACAGGCTCTGCCAGGTGGGGGCAGGGTAGGGCCTGCAGCCAGCTGGGTAGGTACAGGCAACCTGAAAATGAAGAGCAACAGTAGGCTTTCTCAGGCAGGTGAAAGGGAGCTCCTCTGTGGCTCCCATCACAGTGTCCTCTGCTGAGGAGACCATTGGACAAGGTGCAGGCGCAGGCCAGCAACGAGAGTTCACTGACTTCTGCCCAGGAAAGGAGGCTGGGATGTGGAACAGCCAAGCTGCCTACTGCAAGCTCATAATGAGGGGCCATGTCCCTAAATGGACTGCCTTATACTTACATCTGGGACCTGCTAGACGGGGGCCAGCCTCCAGCACCCCAGATGGGCACTTACCTTCAGGGACAGGCACAACACTGAGGAGCTTGAGGTGCAGGCTGGGAATGGGCGTCTCCCGGATGTCCTTGCTCAGCCTACGCACTGGGGGTA